AATAGTTTTATCAAAACCAATTTTAGTATCACTTTCTACTACATTTTGAAAGTAAATCTGAAATGATCAATTTCATAATTAAACGCTCCATTAAAAAACTTTTAATTTTAATATAAAACTATCTTACTTGTAAAATATTTTTTATTTTTCTAGTTCTGTGTAATACCAAATTATTTTCCCTAATAAAATTTTCCTTATTTAAAACATTTTCTTTTTCAATTGATGGTAAAAAAGATATGTAACTAATGATGGATGCTGAATAAGCAGTGTATGATATGGCAGCAAGTAAAAAAAAAACTAAAAGAATTATTCTTGCAGCATGAGTGCTGGGATCCCTGGCAGAACCTTGCTGACAAAAAGCACCAAGACAAACTAATAAAATTTCACTCATTTCCCATTTTTCTCTCTGATGTAATGATTCTTCAGATGTTTTGGGTAATTCTCCATACCTGTAATCAATCAACCGTTATTAACTGTCTCATGATATTTTAAATTAATATTTATTTTAACCGACTTGTTCTCATCTCCGTCTTCTTGTACATCAATCAATCTGGCAAAAATATCATAAGATATTTTGTGTGGTAATTTCGATTCTCTCCGAAGTATAAATGTTAAAACTAGTGTAAGCGTTAAACAGAGGAAAAGTATGCAGAACCAAACGTGTATTGAAAATGGCGCCCAATATATGTAATTTTCATCTCTCAAAGATCGTACTTTATAGTATAATAAAGGTCTTTAAAAAATATATTTGATTAATTTCGTGACCTAGAGCAAGTTTAATTGATTAAATAAAATAAAAATTACCTGAAAGTATTTATGCCGAAGGAATATTTACAAGCGTTTGATGTTTCGTTTGTTATGATAATAGTAGTTGAAGAAATTTGAGCACTTCCATTAACGATTTGTTCTAATATCCATAAATCAGGTTCTTTTTTGTAATTTTGTAAATTCGTAATTAATGGCGTTTCGAGAAACGTTACGTTTAAATTCAATGCAGAACTCAAATGATGCAATATTTTCAAATCGTAAATTTGTTGTAGGTCGTCGTAAAAGTTGTCGAAAGGATTCTACAAAACGATATAAATGGTGTTATAAACAAAAAAAAAAAATTAAAATTAAAATTATAAACAATTTTTCAATTAATCTTACGATAGAAGATGCCACCACAACTTGTTCTTTTGTAAAATTCATTTTTACTAACAATCAAAAAAAAATTTTCCATGATTTTATAAACTTTTCTTTTTTTCCCCCCTCCCCACTGTTACTTTTAATTGACATAAATTCAGTTTTTGAAAAAAAAAAAAAAAAAAAATATTTATTTTGTACATCATTATTATTTTTTAAATGTGACACTTGATTTTCTCTAATTGAAATAAAAAAAATCGATTTTAGTTTCAAAATTTTTTTTTTTCCCCCAGTTGATTTTATGAATTTTTTTAAGTTTCAGTTGTGAAAACAAACACAAAATACAAAACAATACATAACATGAAACATTTAAAAAAATAATAATAACTTTTATATTTACATAATTTTTTCTTGCTTTTATTTTTTTATTTTTATATTTAAAAAAATAATAAATACAATTTTAAAAATATTTTTTTTCAAAGCTGAATTATTTTTCAAATAATAATCATTTAAAGAGATCAAGTATTAAAATACTCATGACATTGAAGTTAATAAAACATCTTTGATTTAGTCAGTGTAGTCAGAATTGTCCTTGACCCAGTCAACGAAAGAAGTAACACGGCTGAATCCAGCAGGGAAACCTTTTTCACAACCGGCAGAGCTACCGTAGGAAACAACACCAACTTGAACTTCTCCTTCTTCGGTTTTGACAACAAGGGGACCACCACTGTCACCCTGTAATGAAACAATCATTAATTACCATTTCAACAATGTGAAATTTTATGATGGATTTTTCAGCACTTACGTTGCATGAGCTTTTCTTTTGAGAACCATCTAAACAGATGACGGATTTGAAAACGGCGAATCCAAAACGTTTTCGACACTCTTCATTGGTCAAAATGTTTGATTCGACAACTCGAAGAACTGGGCTGATGGTTGTGGAAGAATCGTAAGCACGACCCCATCCACTGACTCTAGCGGTTTCACCGACAAAAAGTCCAGCATCGACGGCGGCCAATTTAACCAATTGAACGTATTCTATTTAAAATATATTTATATTTAATAAATTTTTCAAAGTAATGTTTCCTTTGGTGAAGAATAATTTAAAAAAAAAAGTTACATACGGCTCAATGGAGCATCTTCGGGCAATTCAACGAGAGCAATATCGTTTCTCAAGGTGTTTGGTGAGTATTGTTTGTGAACAACAACATTTTTACCAGTCATAGCAACTTGGTTTGGTTCTTTTTCAGTGATTTTGTGAGCTCCCATAACAACAACTGGGTGTTTGGTGCTGACAAAAAAAGAAAACATTAAAATGATAACTTAATAAACAATAGATTAATTAAGTTTAAATACTAAAAAAAAAAGAAAAACTTACACAACACCACAGTGAGCAGCAGTCAAAACGAAGCGTTTTGTGATCAAAGAACCACCACAGAAACTTCCATTCAAAAGTAAACCAAGTTGGTATGGAACTGAATGAGGTACGGCTTCGGTACCACCAACAACCTTAGGCCTTCCTGTAATTTAATATAATAATAATAATAAATAAATAAATTTTTTTTTGTACACCTTGTAAAAAAATTAATATAAATTATAACTTACTTCTTAATCCAGCTCTGAGAGGAGCTTCTGGATAGTAGGCCTAAATTTAAAAAAATAAAAATAAAATTAATTAAAAATAATAATTATTATTTCTAAAATAACTAATAAAACAGAAAAAAAAAAGAAAAAAAGAAAATTACCTCAGCCAAAACGGCGGTGGCGATGATAAAACAAAAAGCAAAAAAACCTTTCATTGTAACGGCTCCCCGGGAAAATAAGTACAAATAATAAAAAATTAACCGTTTATATACTAAGGGAATATACGTTAATCTCAAACGATAAGAGGTCATATTATTATTATTATTAATCAAATTATTCAATTGGGAAAATCGCAAATCAAATCATTTATCATTAAAATATTAATTGTTTAGGTGAAAATTTCCAATTGATAACGTCCTTATCAATAAACGTAATCATAATAATAATAATAATAGTAAAATTATTTTTTTATTTAAATGTTATATAACTGTCGCGTAGCATACTTCAGAAAACTTTTCTTTTTTTTTTTTTTTTTTTCAAATAAAATTTTACAATCAAACGCAAAACACACATAATAATAATAATAATAACTACATAAAAGGTACAGTATTTTACTCAAATATGTTTTTTATTAAAATAAGTTCGTTATTTTTTATAATTATTAATTTACAGTTATTTTTTGAAATGTTATTAATTAAAAAACAAAATGGATTCTAACGTATTGCGCTAATAGTAAATTAAATTCATATTTAATTAAATACATAATAATTTATTTTAAATAATTTTTTATTTTTGCCATCCCGTTGGAATATAAAGTAAAAAAAAAAAAATTAATTTTTATTTGTTTGTCAAGGTGGACATATTATTAAGACATTGATTGAATTTACAAACTGATAAAAAATTATAAAAAATCGAACCGTCCGCCATTTTTTTTTTTTTTTTTTTTTTGACAAGGCTAGAAAATAAATAATTAATAAATTAAAAAAATGATGAAAAGTTTTTTCATCTTTTTAAACAAACAAATAAATTTACGTTACAAGTAAAAATCAATTTTTTTCCTTCATTTTTTTTTTTTATCATGATATTGATTTTTTTTTTTTTTTTTTTAATGGAATGGTCAGTGATTTTATCTTATAAAATCAATCAATTTTTTTTTTTCTTATCAAAAAACGTAATTAAATATCAAGGTAATTAAACATAAAAGATAATGAACATTTGACAGTTTTATTGATGTTTGTTTGTTTGTTTTTTTGTATAAATTTAAAATAAATTTTTTAAATTAATTATTCGGTCGATAAAAAAAAATCCCAAAATTTTTCTTGTGGTAAATAAAAAAATTAAATATTTATAAAATTTGGTTCTTTGTTTTCAATTTTTAATCATTATTATATCAGATAAATGATATTTAAGTTAAATAAATCTAATATGATGATTAAAAATATAAATTTCAAAGCTTTTCTCATAATAAAATGAATGTTAGAAATTTTGGCTTCGTATAAAAAAAAAATGTTTATTATCGAACAAATTATTAACTATAAGTACAAAATTTAAAGCTCACTTAAACTTTTCATTACTGTAAATTTTACTTTTTATAATCATTTCAACCATTCCTTAATCAATTTATTTTTTTCTAATCTTTGACAAGAGACTTACCTACAGCACACATAAAAGGTGTAACCTGAATTTTTATTTCAGATGCAAAACTTTTACACGAAAACAACTTTAGTTTCTTTAAACTGCACTCTTAATTTCTTCTTTCTTTTCATTTTCATTTTTCATAAGGTAACAATTTAAAGCTGATGTTAATAATGTCGGGTTCTTTGAATCCATTGTTATATAATTTTCTAATTCTCTGATGTCTACATCAATATCTTCCTGAGGTTTGGATTTACATTGTGGATGAATAATGTGGTATAGTTTTACTAATGAAAATGCATCTTTTATTCTAAAAAAAAAAATAAAAACAAAATCATAATATATTTTTTATTTTCCAAAAACAAAACCTTTTCGGGGAAAAAAAAATGCTTAATCCGTACTTCTCCGAAACAATAATATCTTCGAGCAAGTTGTCTATTTTATCATTAATTAAAAGATAAAAAGTTAAAGATCCAAAATGCCTGGTTGAAAGCAATTTTTTAAAATCTTTTTTATCATTTATAAATTCATATGTTTTGGTCGTTATTTTTATATACAATGGATCATTCGGTTCAAACTGAAGACATGCTCGATCTAAAATGAACTTATAATCTCCACGATTTAAAGTATTCTGAAAAAGTTTATTAAAAATATAATTTTCAAATTGTTTTTTAAATACCATGAACTAAAATCAACAATTTGTAAATTTACTTGTAAATGTTCATCTTCAAACATTTTTGGTAAAATTATATCTTTACCCTTTACAGGAAAATAAATTTGATTTATTTTCTCCCTCTCATGCCATCTTGCTTCCCTCAGCACACCATTAGGTTCCCTAACTACAATGCTTCTATTCTATAAATAAAGTAAAAAGATAACCCACACATCTTACATGCATTAAATTTAAATATATTGTAGTAAATATCATACTCTATCTGTTGTATCTAACGAAATGTCAGTGAAAACATATTTAGAATGATGAATGTCGAAACCATCTAAATCAGTATCAGTGCTTAATACTTTTTCAATTTCTCCTCTCGGTGGAAGAACAGGAGGTATTTGTAATAAAACATGAGCTTTTTTTTCAGCTTTTTCTTTTTCAATTAATAATTCTTCTGTTGTCAGTAACTTATACACAGGTTCAGTTTTGTCCCCATAGGGTTTTGTTTCATAGACTTTATTTAAATTGATATTTGTCAGACTTTTTAATAAATTTTGAACTTGTGGAGAAAAAAATAAACGATAACTACTGTCACTTACTATAAAAAATAAAAAAAAAACAAGTAAATTTTTTTTTTTAATTTTTTCAATTTAATATCGACGCTCATACTATTGAGTGCATGTATTTCAATCATTACTTCATTTTTATTTTTATAACCGTTAATAATACTAATAACTACTAACCTGTACTTTGCTTACACTTATTGGATAAAAATAAATAAAAAGTTTTAGATAATAAACTACTGCGTGATATCATTTTAATAATAAATAATTTTATTTTAGAAAAATTAACAATACACATACATGATATTAAATTATATTTTCGGAAAATAAAATTAACCAAGACACGTTTTTGTCGTGTCAATAGATAAAATAAAACTCAAATAATATATTTATATATGTTTAAAAATTTTAAAATAATTTATAATTTTTTTCAATTGAATGAAACATGTCAGTTATCGGAGGGTTATTTTCTGAAAAATAAAAATTAAAAAAAAAAGATTAATCTTAGAGTTAATGGCTTAGGTCCTTTTTAAAATGTTTTTCAACGATTGAAAATATCATAATTTAATTCTATGCGCAGTTATTCGTTAATAATCACAAACAAAATAAGTAATAAATATTTTTATTATTTAATTCCCACGCTCTTATTATTATTATTATTAGTTAAATTTCGCTAAAATAATTTTTAACCTTTTATAGGTACGCATTGAGGTTTTCCTTGAGGGCAAGGAGCTCGAATACAATAAATAGTTTGAAATTTACAAACTTTTCCAGGTGGACACAAAACTGTTGCACATGGATTCTTCTGATATTCTGAAAATAAATCAAAAATTTTAAAAAAAAAAACTTTTTAATTATTATTAATAATACATGAGTAAAATATCCATTGTTTTTTATGCTTTTATTTTGTTATAAAAATAAATAAAATCATTAATAAATACTAACCATGATATCCAGCCATTTCTACCGTTGATACAAAAGTAAAAAAAATTAAAATAAAATAAAAAATTTTATTAATATTTAAAAATTTAACCTTCATTTTGTATGTTCAGACAACATTCAACTTAACTCCCTGATTTAAAATGATATAATCGACTAATGAAGAAGACCTTTTTATACTAATTCTTCCAAACAAAAAAAAAAAAAAAAGAAAGAAAAAAGAAATTCCAACTAAATTAAAATAAAACATCGATTGGCTATGATTAACACGATTTTACATAAGTTTACAATATTTTATTCAAACAACTTTTTTTTTTTTCTAGAATCTTCTATCATTTTTCTCAAGAAAAACGCATTTAAAAAAAAAAATAAAAAAAAAAAAAAACAAATTTTTTTAACGTGTAAACAAATTTCATTTAACGTGCGTTTAACAAGGAAAAAATTTTAAGAAAAAAAACATTTTATTAAAAACAATTATTTTTTTATACTTAGCTTACGATAAATTAATATCAACTTATTCATCATTTTTATATCTTTGTAAAAAAAGAAAACAAGGGGGTTCCCCGTTTCGAT